CTTTAACAAGTTATGAAAATGTTTTCGATGTCTTTTTACTTCAGTAGAGTGCTCTGTGATATTTGCTGGTTAGCAAACTGGTGATGGTGGTATGATCATTCATACTGTAAATCACTGTCTCAAAATCAAATTTAAAAGATATGCACCAGTAATTCCTGTTTAAACTGAAGAAACATCAAGTGAGTGCTACAAGAATCAGGCTTGTTTCCTCTATTCTTCTATGTTTTATTAATGACATAGAGAAAGATGGTAGGGAATTCAATAGCAATAGCAATAGCAGTTAGACTTATATACTGCTTCATAGGACTTTCAGCCCTCTCTAAGCGGTTTACAGAGTCAGCATATCGCCCCCACAGTCTGGGTTCTCATTTCACCCACCTCGGAAGGATGGAAGGCTGAGTCAACCTTAAGCCGGTGAGATTAGAACCGCTGAACTGCACCTAACAGTCAGCTGAAGTGGCCTACAGTACTGCACCCTAACCACTGTGCCACCTCGGCTCATTCATACCTAATGCATGCTAATGACAATGGAGTCAGTTATTCAAAGAATTGTAGGACTCCATCTGATCTATTCACATACAGCCTAGGTGACTGTCTGGGATGCTTTAATGTGGGTTTCTGAACTGAAAAGAGAAATAGACTCAAAGGTCTAAGGGGCCCTACCAGCATTATGATTCTATAGTTAATACATTTTCATTGCCTGTCATCCAAGTGATAAACAAAGCTTACTAATTATATATTGGAAACATATTTCAGACACTTTACCAATAAAATAATTGGCTGAATTATATCAATTGCTGCTATGCTTCAACCCAACAGGACTGTATCTTTAAAAAGCATAGATTCAAACCCCCCCCCCCACTTTTAAGCATCCTCTATGTATTTTCAGATTGGAGATTCCAGGAGCTTCAGACTATGCTTGATGGAACTATTCATGCAAGTCGGAAATATAACTGGATCTGCTCACCAAGTAACTGCTGATAAAGAGGTTTGAATAAAAACCAAGTATTCTCGCTATTGCCCCTTACTATTGTCATGCAAATAAATCCCCTTACTAAGTAAGGCTTACTTATAAATGGTAACTTTCTTAATCATTTCAGATCCACTCAACATTCCATTAATCTTTTATGATACCGATTCTCCTGATTATACAGCTCCCTCCCATCCAGCCTCTTTGCTAATACAGAAACACAAAACGTCAAAGCAGCAGAAATATTGTATTCTCATAAATCATGGATTCCCATATTAAGTGCAGACAGCGGCAGATTTATGATTTAATTGAAAAGGCCATAGGCCTGCAGATTGGCCCTTGGAGGACATAGGGGCCATTCCTATTCCTGAAAAGAGTTCTAATTTCACAACACTGTTTAATATTAAATCAACTTCCTCACAGCAAAGGAGTTGAAAATCTAGCTCTGAATACAGTGGAATTTTTTTTTATCAGTACTTATTATTTTTGGTTATTCTGATTCAAATTCTGAGCTGGAGCTCATCTATTCAGCCCTCGGGAATACCACCATCTCTGGATGGAGAGTCAGAAAGCAAGGAGACAGAGTAGCACTCTGTCACACAGAAGCATATGGCACAGGCAAAGCCACCTGCTGCTTGAACGGAATGGGCTCACAAGAACCAGGTGGGCATGGCTTGGTAGGTTGCCCTGACCAGGTGGATGTGAGTGGGTGCATGTAACTTGCTTGATGTAGCTGGTTCAATGCTGCTCACTTGGTGTGGTTCCAGGTGGGTTGGCTGGGTAGGTGCAGCCGGCACTGACTTGAGATGGTTGGATTGGTATGGACAATTCAGTGCTCCACAATCTTGCCCCACAAACTGCCAGCAGCCAAGTATGTGTGTGTGCATGCACACACACAAAAAACACACACTATTCCAGACTTTTATCCTCTTCTTGCTCTCCAGAGATCTGTGAACGAAGAACCTTGACTCCGCACCGCCATGTGCATCCCTCTACTCCTCCTGCTGCTTTGCCTGTCCAGCCTCCCCACCACATCTCGTACCTCCTCCAGAGATCTGTCAAGGCAGAAGTTGGACTCAGAGGAAACTGCTTTGTGCAAACTTTCTGTCATGCCCCCATCAGAACCTGAATCTGTGGGGGAAGACGAGATGGAACCTGAGCCAATAGAGATTGAGGGAGCAGCTTTGTTGGCTTCAAAGGAAAAAGGGGAAGGGAAAGGCCAGTCAGGCCAGGGCCTTTCAGGATTAAAACATCTTATAGACAAGGAGGAACAGGGGCAAGATGAACATGAGAGACAGAGCTCAGATGAGGAGCAAGGACTAGCCCCTCCTGATCCAAGAGCACAGAGAGTGGAGAGAAGATGGGAACAGCGCAGACTGAGCAGGCTACTTGGGAGAAGAGTGCCCCACCCATCTCCATAAGGCACACCTGGGGAATGAGACTTAAGACACTGTGGGGAGGGGGAATTTGTCGGGAACAAACACTGAGTTCCTGAAGTGTTGAGTGCCAACGTTTGAGCTTTCCAAGAGTCCTTGCATTATTTCTGGCTTTCTGGACTAATTAACTGGATCCTTTACTTCCTGAACTCCTTGATTTGCCCTGCTGGATTTATTGCTGTTCAGTCTTAAGGTACACAGCGCTGGGCTAGACTATTTGCAGCCAGAGGCTGCTTGAGGTGTGTGTCAGGGGTTATCATCACTTTGCTCTAGGACTTGCCAGAAATGTGGGAGCATTTGGGGAAATTTGGACCACAAAGGAGCGGTTTGAACTGCCAGCTGCCTGTATTATCTCTGTGTCATGCATCCAGACATCACACTTTCTCCTGCACACTTTCATGTGTAGCAGTGTCACCCTCTGCCTCCTGCTTTGCTGGGAGGAGGCACTGGACAGGGAAATGCCAATGCTCAGATGTGTGGAATTGGGAGAAGAACGTATCCTTTGGTATACTGCAAGCGTACACACGCATGCACACACACAGACACACACCATTTCAAGCTTGGAGTCTTTTATCAACATTTGACCTGACAAGCTGCCAATCATGCCTCAGCTTGGGGAGAAGGACCTCTCCTTCTGTGGATCAAAAGTCCCCAAACTCGGAATGGTGAGTGTGCTTGTTTGTGTGCGTATGTATGTATGCACGTGCGGGTCCCCTTGGATGCAGGCAGTTTGGGGAGATGAGGATCTTGTGGGGTACCAAGTTGTCCCCATGTCAAGTTAGCTTGTATGACTTGTTCCATGCCAACCCAGCCAATACGAGTCAGCAGAGCCAAGGCAGCTTCACCTACCCAGCCACACCCACTTGGTTGAACCTAGTCAGCTGCACCAAAGGAGTGGTGTTGAGCTGGCTGTGATTACCCATCCACAATCACCCAGTCATGACCAACTGACCGCTGTGAGTCCACATAGACCAGTGGTGGGTTTCAAAAATTGTTGGAACCTACTCTGTGGGTGTGGCTTGCCACCCATGTGACCAGATGGGAGTGGCTTGCCACCCATGTGACCGGATATGAAATTATGAATTAGTACTTAGGTCGGTCCAAGTAGCTATTCAGAAACTCTGGCATTGAAGCATGCAAGTCTTAAAGCTGTCAAGTTACAAGATCCTTGCCAGTGGTGGGTTTCAAAAAATTTTGGAACCTCTTCTGTAGGTGTGGCCTGCTTTCCGGGTCCAATGGTGGAACCTCTTCTAACTGGTTCGGTAGATTTGACGAACCAGTTCTACCGAATAGGTGCGAACTGGTAGGAACCCACCTCTGACATCGACCCGTACTTGAAACGAGGGTACATCAGTATTGGCACTACTCGGTTGAGGTTAGAAATTCCTCTTTTTAAGGTTCCACAAATCTCCATGACAGCTCAATTTCATGTGTGTTAGCTTTGCTTTTAATCATGCTGTAACTGGCTTTGGCTATATGTACTACTTGCTATGAAGCATGACTTGAAAAAATAGTGCATTGCCCTATGAATTGATCCTATTAGCAACAGTGGTGTTCCTCCTGGACTCAATGAATGATTAAGGCTACAGTGTAGTGTTCTTTCAAAGGATACTTTTACTTTTACCTGTCTTTTGGAAAAGTCCTTTCTTATTTGTTAATGAAAATGCACCTTTTCCCTCTTGATTCTCAGCACCTGCCAAATAGATAGAAATCTCACACATAAGCAGCAAGGTTTCAAAGATATTGCTAATTTATTACCCCCTTATGGACTTTTTGCTGAAACAAGACAAACATTAACTTTGATAATAAGAAAGGGTAGACTATATAAAGAAGAAAATCAAATTATAATTTTAGGGTGATGACATAAAATATATACTTGTAACTGCTGTTGATAAGCTTGGAAGCCACTTCTTTATAATCTTTCCTTTTCCTTTCCCTATTTCTTTCTTTGCACTTTTTCAGTTATTACTTACTTCACTTTCCTTATTTTTTCCTTTTAAAATTTGCATTATTTTTATTCGTTTAAAATTTTATTTGATGAAAATTATATACAGAGAGATAATCATGTATGGAAAGCATGCCTCAGAGAACAGCTCTGATGACTGAGAATTGTCTATTCCCAATACATGGGCACAGACACACACAGACACACACACACACACACACACACACACACAAATGGAAAATACTTCTGCAGTTAAATGCTGTAAATTGAAAAGGCAAGGCAGAGTTGTAAGATGCATTTCTTAGTCTTGGCTCTGCCCACTGCCTGGACTGTGTTCTCCATTGTAAATAAACAATGATATCTACCCTATTCAAATAGGGTATAAAACACGCTAAGCAGAACTACTGAACCAGACTACTTGGAATCATATCTTTTCAGTTTTGTGGTTCTGCAAATCCATTTCTGGATTCATTTGTTATTTACTTCTGTCACCTTCCCATGTATTGTTCTTGTACTGATATTTGAGCTTTCTATAAAAATGACTATACTCCTCTGCTAGCCTGTAAGAGTCTACTTTGGCAGTTTTCAAGGAAAGTATTTAAACTGAGAGTTGAGGTTGCTTTACCAGCACCATCAAATTAATACCTACCTTCCTGGTGGGATGCCTCCAATTTTTTTAGGGTTTCAGAAACAAGGATCAAAGCAGCCTCATTCAACACTTCCTCTTTGATAGTCTTAATTTTATAATCCTGTGAATAGAATTTTTGAAGCATGCCATCTACTGCATACCGATGATAAGGAATGAAATCACCTTCCCCACAACACTTGCATCGGTGAGCTAGCCACTTCAGGTAATTGGCACATTTGAAATGCAAGGCTTTTTTCTGATTCTTAAGCCACAGCTCATAAGCTGCTTCTTGCAACAGTGGTGTGCAAAACTCCATGATTTTACAATGCATCACAGTCTCTTCTAGCTCGAGCCTATTGGAAATAACTGATCCAAGATCTGAAAAATAACATAGTATTTGCACCGTCAAAGAATGAAATCGTTCCATATAAATCTACTGTTGTAGAGGAATAGCTAATGTTCTATTTCTGATTAGATTTAAGAACATGACTACAGCAGCTAATTTTCTCATGATTCTTATTCCTGTTATGTTAGTGAACACAATCTGAACATGGTGAATAGGTATTAATATGATTTATGTGTCAAGGATTTATATGAAGGCAGACATATCATAAAATATTACTTGATTTTACTTGACTATTGGGCGTTCCCTTTCTTCCTATAAAGGGCAAAATTAAGTATTAACTTGTTTAAGATTTCAGCACCAATTTAACATGAAATTGATTCATACAATGCAATAATGTTGTTCAATCATTTCCATGGCCTTTGAGTAAACTGGTGTTTCAGAGATTTCTAGTTTTTCAATAGCCAACTTACCTGATTCTTCCCTTTGTGATTTCAATTCACTATTCCTGATGCTGGACTCTTTAGATAACATACGCCGCATTGCATTCACTTCTTTTCTTTTACTACCACTCTTAAAGATACGGGATTCCACCAGTGCTGCCAGAGTCTGGTACATCTTCCTTTTTGTCCATTCTGGGAGGATATAAAGCAGCATATCTGTAGCAAATGTCACACCAATGACAGCTGCACATTTCACCACCATCTGCTCTGAAGGATTCATGTTGTCCAGTGCAGCCAGAGCAATTCCTAACAACAAAGAAAGTCAAACTGTGAAAAAAGTGGTAGTGTCTGAACTGGTCACAGTTTCCAAATTTTATGTTTAAATCTGCAAAAGCAACATTTAGGAATAGTAAGATTACATCACAGAGATTAAACGACAATTGCAGAGAAACACTATTCGGAACTGGAAGAGAGAGAATTTTATTAAAAATATAGGACACTACCCTTTATTACAAGGAAATTTCTAGAACAGAATATCTGGGAGGGAGGAGTAATCTAATACTGCCTGCCTGCCTGCCTATCATCTATCCATCCGTCCATCCGTCCATCTGCTCATCCCTCCCTCCATCCACCCATCCCTCCCTCCATCCACCCATCCATCCATCCATCCATCCATCCATCCATCCATCCATCCATCCATCCATCCATCCATCCATCCATAAAAGGCATGTGTTGATTTCATATGTCCATAAAAGGGTGAAGTCATAATGCCATTTTGACTTTTGTACTTTTTATAGTTTTTGCACCTCTTCCTCCCAAAATACCCATATTTCAAAATGCATTCTTCTTCTCTATGATAACCCCTTAAGTACTAGAACATTGCTATCATAATCACCCCTGCCCTTCTCTTTGTAGACTAGACATATCTAGTCCCCTCAATTGTCCATCAGATGGTTTAATCTTCAGACGCTTAACATTTTTGTTGCTCTTCTCTCTAGGGTTTCAACATCTTTTTGTATCATGGTGATGAGAATTGGATGCAGTATTCCAAGTGTGGTGGCAGCAGTACAGTTATAAAGTGATCTTGAAACAATCCTTCTGTTGATGCAACCTAGGGCTGCCTCTTTTGGCAATTGTGGGACACTGCTGATTCCTATTTAAGTGATTGTCTACTAGGACACTTAGATCCCTCTCACAGTTATTGCTGTTGAGTCAGATACCACCTATTTCATAATTGCATTTGGTTTTTCTTGCCTAAGCACAGGGCCTTACTTTTCTCACCACCTAATTGCATTTTGTTGACTAGGACCATTCCTTCCTCTTTAACATCTATATGAAACCCCGTTGAAGAAATCTGCAACTTGGGATTCAGTATAAGTAACAGATTAACAGAGTTAGGAGGGACCTTGCAGGTCATCTAGTCCAACTCCCTGCCGAAGCAGGAGAAACTACATCTGCCTCAACCTAGGATCGAACTCACAACCTCCTGATTGTGGGGCAAGAGCTCCACCTTTAGGTGCCCAATTATATCTTCCTATATTTCTTTGAGGGAGATGGGCAGTTCAGAAATACAATAAATAATAATAAATTTCATCCTTAAGGCAGCCAAGTAAGGGTGTTGGGATCAGGGGTGAGATTCAGCAGGTTCTGACAGGTTTGGAAGACAGTGGCATTCAGTTTACTACAATGCTCTTCCACAGTCATCAAACATAATTCATATTAACTGAAGTATTTTAACTCAGATATTTATACATGTTACCATCAT